CCATTTAACATTGTTTTTACCTTGACTTGGTATATTGATGAAGACCATCCTATAGTTTTTACCATGTTAGTTTAAAAATGAATACCCAGTGTTTGGATACTTGACAGTCACAGTTGGTGAATGATCATGATTTAATTTATTTCAACTCATTTCCTCATGTTTGTCACACAGGAGATCACGATCATCTGTGTGAAGTGGCAGACCATGATGAATGTGTTTCTGTTGAAGTGCATAATTGAGTCTGTACAGGATTACCAAGAAGTCAGACAACCCTCCCAGCCAGCTAGTTTCAGTAAATGTCCACAGCACTTTCCTGTGGTTCAAAATTGTTAGTTTAAGGAGAAGCTGTCTTTTTTTTTTTACTGGGCTTTCTTTCTTTCACTCTTAACAATTGAGCCTATTTTGTCTGAAAATGTCAGATGTCGCACGGGGCTGTTGCGATCTCAGTCCCTCTAACTTCTGTCACTCACAGGAGAACACATTCATACACAGCATTTTCTGCAGCTGCTTATGTGTTTGGTGGCTTGAACACTATGAGGACACTGGGCCAGAACCAGTGACTGCACAGAGTCAAGTGAACCGAATAAGACCATTTTTATCAGTAGTTACTCTTACCTGTGTTTTTGACAGCTCTATGGGCAACATTGACAAGCAGCTCAGACCTTTGGTTGTCATGATGTCTCTCACCTTTAATCTAAGGGAAAAGTCAACAGTGTGTGTATATGTTTGTATGGAAACCTGAATACTCAAAGTTCAGATCCAAACGTGGGCGTTTCATGTCTGTATGCTTTTTGTGCGTCAATTCAGAGAGAGAAAATTTTAATTTATATATTTTTTAGAAAATGAACGCTGTACTATTATATAAAAAAAAAGAACTGTGGCCAATAAAGAGTTTCACACAAGTGAAATCATTTCAGAGTTAGACTCGAGTCGACATCTGCACTCACTGCCTTAAAACATTCACAGGTTGTGTTTAATGACTCCAATCCAAGAAAAATCGTAAAAAGGCTTTTCAATGAGGAAAAGGTGAAGTGTGTACAGTAGACCCTTGTCAGTTTGTACAAATATACCAAGTGAAAAAAATATTTATTACCTGCATTGGAAAAAAATTGTTTACTTATTGAATGTTACCTGTTTATGTAGAAAAGTTTAGATGTAATAAAATGCATTCTGTTATTTCTCTGCGTGTTTTTTCTTATTTTAAAAGATCGGCTCCATGTTTGTTGGAGGAACGTTTCAGTTTTGACAACGCTCACAGCTGAACACTGGGTGGCAGCAGAGAGTCATTTTGATCACTTCGTCCCCCTTGTACCAAACCAATTACGCACGCTTTGTCAACTCCAGCCGCAGAAGCTATACTTAATATAAACATCAGAAACTATTAATTAGATCTTTATTTATGGACAGAAGCCACCGTGAGAGCTGGTGGGTGAGGCATTCTTTTAATTCTCAGAGCAGTCATGCTGGTATATTATTATGTATGCCTCTTGGAAAAGAGGAGGGTAGATGACAGGAGAGGAGGGAGAAGACGTTGAGAGGGCGTCATATTCTCATCACTCCAGATCTGTTTGGATGTTTTTACGGTGCACTACACACATGGCATCTAGATTATGTTGAAGTGTCTGTGAGTTGCTGACATTATGAATGAGGAAAATGAAAGCGTTTGTTTGAACAGGTCAGTGACGGAGATGTTCCGCTTTAGTAGCCTGGAAGACATCGATGTGACAGCTGACGGGAGCCCGGTTCTGAGATTCCTTATCTGCCTTGTTTATTCAGTGGTCTGCGCTGCTGGTCTGATGGGCAACCTGCTTGTCATCTTCTTCTTCAGGGTCAAACAAGAGAGGAAGAAGTCCACAGTGAACTTCTTCGTGCTCAGTTTGGCTGTGACTGATCTGCAGTTTGTTTTAACTCTGCCCTTCTGGGCCGTGGATACCGCGCTGGATTTCAGCTGGCCGTTTGGAAACGCCATGTGCAAAATCATCCTCTCGATCACCGTGATGAACATGTATGCCAGCGTGTTTTTTCTCACTGCCATGAGTGTGACCCGGTACTGGTTTGTCACCTCTGCTGTGAAGACCAGAACCCTGCAGAAGTCATCTTCCGCCAAATGGATCTGCGCGGTCATTTGGACATTGGCGACTTTGGCGACTCTGCCAACATCGATTTTCTCAACTGTCGGGAATGTAACCGGAGAAAAACTGTGTTTGCTGAAGTTTCCCGGTGGACAGTATTGGTTAGCAGTTTATCACATACAGAAAATACTTGTAGGGTTTGTATTGCCAATATTCATCGTGTCCTTCAGCTATCTCATGCTGCTGCGTTTTGTCCGCAATCGAACTATGAAAACAATGCGCAACCGCAAAAGGAGATCCAGTGTTACACAATCTATCACCATCGTAGTGTTGTGCTTCTTCCTATGCTGGATGCCGAACCATGCCATCACCTTGTGGAGTGTGCTGGTTAAAATGAACGCTGCAAACTGGGACAAAACATACTACATTGTCCACACATATGTGTTCCCACTGACCATATGTCTGGCGCACACCAACAGCTGCCTTAACCCGATTATTTACTGCCTCATGAGGAAAGAGTTCAGGAACAAACTGGGAGGTCTGATACACAGAGGATAGTCTTTTAGGATGAACAATCTGACAGATCGCCAAAAGTGTTGATAAACAGTAGCCTAACCATGACACGTGGGCGCGCACGACGAGATAGACATAAGCTTAGAGAGCACCGACCAGAACGCACACTCCGTACATGCCAAAGCTATTTACTCGATTGTGCACAAAGAAAATGTAATTTTCGTGTGTGCTTCTTGTCTAGAAATCAGCCACATTGCGCACGTCTTTAAAGAGGAATAACTGCAACTGCTTTCGGGTTATATGCATATGAACTGCTTAAATTCTGGAAAGGATATTACATATGACCACGGTGGTATTACTAGTGATGAATGTCTAATGAGCGGCCTAAGTGACTGCCTGTGCAACTGAGCATGGCAGTTACCTAAGTATTAGTGTGTTCACTGTACAAATGAACAGCTCTTTTTTCATCCGTCTTAACAATTAACATAACCAGTATACCTTAAGAGAGTTTCTATAGCTATCATGGATGCAAACATCACTTTCTAAAGCAAAGCAGAGAAAAGTTAGTGTAAAAAGTGACCAAGTTATGGACCTGAAGCCTAGTTTAGTTTGGGTGCAAAAAAAACAATGTATGAAATGTGATTTTTGTAAATGCACAAAACTGTCTTCACTATGTGGAATCACAAAAATGTACTCGAGTTGCATCATGGATCAGTTGACCCTCCAACAAAGAGCAGTTGAAAAGAACCATCTGTGGAAAACAACAGGGCATCTACACAGATTTGTGCAAGACTGGCATCAAATCTTGCCAAAAATAAATAAATAAAGATGAACATATAAATTTGTTTTAATAAATCTCATTACTGAAGGGTGGACTGACCTATTGTTGCAGTTGTTTCTTACGTATACTTCAATTAGTCAAACATATCAGCGGACAGTCAGGACTGCAGAAAAGGGCATTGGTGTGAGCCTGCCCTCCATGGAGGACCTGTACACTTCACGGGTCAAAAGGAGGGCAGAGAGGATCACTGCAGACCCTTCACACCCTGGACACAATCTGTTTGAACTCCTGCCCTCTGGATGGTGTTACAGGTCACTGTGCACCAAGACAACCAGGCACCGGGACAGTTTCTTCCCCCAGGCCGTCACTCTGATGAACACTTAACCAACGACAGTATGACTGGACAATAACCCTCAGTGCAATACCTGTAAATATAACTCGTACAGATTGTACAGACTCGTTGAGGTCTCTAGTTTTAGGTACTCTGTTTTTATCCCTTATCCCTATTTATCTCATTTCAACAAACATTCCTTGTTGTCTGCATTGTTTACTGCCTGTTTATACTGCATATTCTGCATTGTTTGCACTGTTTGTTGTTGACAATATTGCTGTTAATACTGCTTATTTTGTTATATTACACAGCCTTATGCTGGTTTACTGTTTGCACATTGAGAGCCAATGTACCAAAGTCAGATTCCTCCTGTGTCCGTCACACCTGGCCAATAAAGCTGATTCTGATTCTTTTTTTTTTCTTTTTTTTTTAATTAATTGGCCTCATTCTTCTTGGGCTTTGACTAAAAACAAATCAAACACTATTAAATGAAAAGGATTTGTAATTGTTAACATTTTAGTTCTATGGGTGCACTCACTTGTTTGGTACTGTAAATAATAAACGATAAGATGTGATAGGTGATCAGCAGATAACACATTACAAACTGTATAACAGAGAGGTGTCTCCTGCCTCCTGCAGAATGAAGCTTTTGGGTTTGATTAAAATCAATAGACAAAGGAAATAGACATACCTGAACGGATGTCTGAGCTGCAGGTGCACACAGCTGTGTGTCTTGAACACATTCATATCAGAAACTAGGCTTTGTTTTTTGTCTGGCAGGATGGGCACTGATTGCAGTTGTGGATAGAATTGAACTGAATGTGAAATGTTGAACTGCACAGAATACAATGTTACCAATTCTAATTTATTTACACTTAAGGGAATCATCTGTTTGCTTGTATTTAGATGTACTGCATTTCTTTGTTTTAAGTTTTTTTTTTAGCTTAATTTTGTATTTAATGGTCAATTTATTGGTCAGGTTTGTTTTTTTAAGATTTTATTGTTTAATTTTAAGTCAAACTGATTGTGTCTGTCATGTGAAATGAACCATTAATAAAGCCAGTCAAATCAACTTCTTTCAGTAAAACTGGGAATTTGAGTACATTTTAGGGAAAACATAAAAAACTGATTAACATTAACTCCTTGAGAATCTCCTGCTGTTAATGGGTAAAATTCACATATACAAAAGACAATTTTATGCGTCAATATAAACAATTTAATACGGTCATATATAATAACACATCCATTAGAGGAGCCATTGTTGATTGAGAATGAGTACTTTTACTTTTGACACTGTAGAGAGTTGGGATTACCAGGAGAAGCCTGGCCCTGTGACTTTCAGAAGACATTAATAGTACTATGTGAAGTATTGGCCAGAAGCTGCATTATGTAGTTTTAATTTTCTACTGAGCTTTGAAAAAAATACACCTCTTGACATTCTGGTAAGTGTCATCTCAGTGCCTCTAGTCTTTGCTGGTGCTTTAATCACAGGGACCTAGATCTTGTAAAGGTCAGCTCTTGGCACTTAGATGACTTATCACAACATTGACATTTTGGAGAAAACACATCTGTTAACTGCACTAATCAAGCCTCCTCTCAGGACATTGAAACTGTGTCTCTGCTTCCGATGTGCCCATGAAATTCAAAATGAGAAAAACATCCAAGAAAAAAAAGACAGAAATCACTACTGTAAAAATGTCCACCTGTAAATAGAACTGCTCTTCTACATAGGACATTGTCAGTGCTGCTCACCATTAGGCCTCCCTATTAAGTTGCACTACTATTGCTATAATAAACCTGAACCAGGAAAAAAAAAAGGAAACTGGCTGAAGAAAAAGCCTCCTAGCTGCACTGACAGTGTTCAAACACTTGTTGTTTGTACCTTTATTAATTTATTACAGTAAATACAGTGTAAGGAACCATTAGCTAAATGGCTGATAATTAACACCAATTCCATATTGCTTGAAATCCATGATTATCTGTATATGTGTGTATGCCAGTGTTATAGTTTGTTAGGTGTGCACAGGCTGCTTGGATGATGTTGCAGTGTAGATAAACTGAAATAACATCTAAAAATATTCCATTATAATTAAAAATTCTACATTAGTACTGAAGTAAAACTACTCACTCAGTAGGAAAAATGGCCCTTGGCTGATTTATTATTGTATTGGAGGTGAACAGTACTAAAGCTTTAGTGTGTACACAGCATTTTACTGTTGTAGCTGCTGGGGGTGGAGTTAGTTTTAACTATTTTATGTACAGTTTGGTACATGGCAAATTACTTTATAACTTTTTTTGTAATGCATTTTCTGGATTTTTTTGTTATTGTTGTGTCTCTCACTGTTCACATAAACCTACCATTGAAATTGTAGACTGATCATTTCTTTGTTAGTGGGCAAACTTACAAAATCAGCTGGGGTTGTATACGGGGTCAGGCCGCTCAAAGAATCACAGGGTAAATCTACAGGGGTCATGAGATGATTCATGGGAGAGGAAGAAAAAATACAGAAGTCTTCTAAGCAAATGTATTGCCATTTTTTAAATACTCCATTGTGCTCTAATACAATGTGCTACCATCCACCACACTCTACCCAGTTCTTCAGATATTGCTCATTATGAAATTACAATAAATGAGAATGCAACAAAACTTACTAATCAAGCAGAAATAATTGAAGAGCTCTGATTGGTTAGAGAAGTCAGTCCCACTCAAAAACGTTTAGAAGCTAATATCTCTCCACTGTTGCCAGTGCTGTTTAATGAGTCTAGGTCACAGGAGGCTTCGATAGCATCTCTCCACATTAAGACAAGTTTCGGAGCATATTGCTACAACTAAAATATTAGAAAAATATTACATATAGCTCTAAGTACAAATCTGAGCTACTTGTACACAAGTATTTCCATTTATTGTTTCTTCAATCCATTACATTTCAGAGGAAAATATTATTTTTCCTTGACCACATCTATTGAGTTACTAGTTACTCTACAGTTTAAGATGCTGCATACTAAACAAATAAAGTGTTTATAAAATATGATGCTTTGTTATTGATTAAACTACCCAACAAATTAATTAGTTTGTTAGGCTAAGCAATTATTTGACTGACAAAAATTGATTGTCAACTATTTTGATTGTTTGAGTAGTTTTTCATGCAAAATGCCAAACATTTCATGGCTTCATTTTTATAAATGTGAGGATTTTATCTTTTTTATTTTTAACAATTTTAATACATTAAATGTTGGTAGGTTTGTAAAAGTCAAATTGCAATGGTATCACTGTCACAGGGGCCATTTTTCTGCATAATGAGCCTGCAATAATTAGGCTACATTTTTGTAATTATATTTGCAAAACCTTAATGGGAGTATTTTCACGGTGTGATATTAGTACTTTTACTTAAGTAAAGGTAAGTGAACGTAAGTAAGTCAATACTTCTTTTATGCCAGAGGCATCTTTAAAAAGCCCATCATAAAGCTTTAATAGCAGGTAAACGGTTATGGGAACGCTGCCTGCTAATAAGACTGTGAGCTCTGACGATTGGGTGACAAATTTAGGATTTTCCGAGTTTCACAAGAGCACGTGAACACGCCGCAGCTCTGGGTCTTCACGGTGGTCAGGTGACCCAACACCAGGCAGGCCAGTCTCTGCTTTTTCGTCGTTGTGGCTCCAATGTCGGAGGTGTTTGTCCCTGGAAGAAATGGACTCTGGCAATGCACGAATTTGATCGTTCGGAGATCCGATCCGTTGAGTCTGTGAATGGCGCCAAAACAGGACCCTAAACCTAAATTTCAAGAAGGTCGGTGCAGAAATACAATGAATCCCCGTTAACGTCTGGAGGGGGCGGGTTTGTTTTTGTTATTGTTTCTGTAGCTTGACTATAGTGGTGTCCAGGCACTTATAGATGGAAACTTGTTCGGTATTACTGCCAATATATGTGAAGACAATTCATTTTAAACATACCAAACATGGTCGTATCCTAATTTTAAGGTAAAGCACGCCATGCATTAACATTGGGCTAACTGTTAGCGAGCCTGTCATTCATGCTAGCTTACGTTTACTATGTGTTAGCTAAACCTGCCTCCATACAAGAAGAGTCCTACTGTAGATGTGTTAGTCCAGATTATTTTAGCTAAGGACCTTGGTAATCGTAGTCTGACGAGTATATATTGTGAGCATTTTTTCATGATGTGTTTTTCCTCCAAGTACTCAGATTTGTTTTTCCCTCCTTGCAGGTGAAAGAGTCCTGTGCTTTCATGGGCCATTGCTCTATGAGGCAAAGGTTTGTTTCAGCACTAACTATATGTGTGTTATTAGCCGATTATTAATTGCAAAATCTATCTCAACCGATGACTGACACAGGCATGTGTGTTATCTTGTTTTACAGTGTGTAAAGATTAACATCAAGGATAAGCAGATAAAATACTTCATTCATTACAGCGGATGGAACAAAAAGTGAGCCCCTTGGTGTAGATGCACCTTTCTCTCTTGAGTTTTGTGTCAGATCCATTGCAACACTCATTGTCAGCTTCCTGTGATCTGAATAAAGTCTGTGAGGACTTTTTTTTATCTTCATTGTGATTGGTTTGAAGGTTTTTTTTCCTTTGCAGCTGGGATGAATGGGTTCCTGAAAGCAGAGTTCTCAAATATGTGGACAGCAACCTTACGAAACAAAAAGAGCTTCAAAAGGCCAATCAGTAAGCTCTCCTTTTTGTCCTCACACAACAGTGTGAGTTCTCTGATAACAACTCCCTGATGTCAAGTCCTTTGCTAGTCATTTTTGCTCAGTTAGTTTCAAGAATATCAAGACATGATCATAATTTGCACTTTGTCAGCTAAATTTTGACTGTGATTGTTATGGATATATAACAGTAATTTGACATTTTTCTTCCCCAGGGACCATTATGTTGAGGGAAAGATGAGGGGTTTAGCGCCAAGCAAGAAGATCGCTGCTGTGCAGCAGAAAAATGTTGATCTGTAAGTGTCCACTTTGTTTTCCACCTCTAATTCAATATACCAATTGTGTAAATTATGTTTTCCTGACTATTTATGTATGCTCTGTATGTGGTCTGGACCACATGGGGCACCTTTGTAATATCATGTTGTCCTTTACAATGGCCTGTTTCTTTTGCATTCTAGGAAAGTGAAAAAGGCAAAACAGAAGAGTAAGTAATGTCTCTGCATGATTTGTTAGTAGTAGCTTTAAATTAAGTTGTTTTGTTTATATTGCCCAAGATCAATTTGTCTCAAAGGACAGTTTAGTTATGAGAATAGGACTGTTGAAGTTCAGACTATGAGCTTCTAATAATGTTATTATCCATATCAGAAAGATGTAAGAAAAAAAAACAACAACTCTTTTTGTACTTCTTGGGGCCTTTTATCAAATGTGGCCCCTGATGTAGATGCATTTGGAGGCAAAATGAATCTGTGAAAGTCACCAGGAAAAAAGATGTTCCTGAAATACTTGGCAGCTGAAAATACAGCCTACATACTAAGTTGTTATTCACCTGCTCATCCATTATGTCTAAAACCACGGTTTCATTTGGGGATGTTTATGAATCTTTTGAGTGCATGAAGAGGTTGGCTTTGCCAAATCAATCTCACACTAACCTTCATATCTGCATAATGAATGCAGCTGTAGTGGTTGTCTATTTTAGTCCCAGGGCCAGGTGAAGGTACCAGCAGTGGAGAAATGCCCCAGGGACCACGGAAGAAGAGGGCTCGGGTTGATCCCACTGTGGAGAGTGTATGTATCATCGGTTACTGGTAACCCTGTGAACCGTCACCCACAGGAAATCTGATTCTATAGCTGATTATAAACACTTTATACTATGGCATTTAGTTTATTTATAAAGCTGGGAGAAATGTAGTTGCATATAGTTTGCAGTCAGATGATACATAAGAGTTAGTGTGATTTTTTTAAATAAAGGACTGTGAGAAACATCACAAAGGTGTTAACTTGTTAAGCATGACATTTCATTTATACAAAATTAGCTTGCATTGCACCTGTATTACTTCCTAGCTTTAGGATCTTGACACTGGTCAAGTTATTTCTTAACATTCAGGTACAGTAGCTGTGGGAGTGAACTGAGCATGTATTTTCTGTTTCTTTGTCAAAGAGTCAAACAAAGAAGTGCGAAATGTTCATTAGTGTCCATTAGCTTGAACACTGCAGAGATCAGGGACAATCAAACACTCAACAAAATGATCAACAAAAAGAAAAAAGAAAAAAAATCACGGGGTTATATTTGTTTGGTTGTGTTTGTGTATCCAGGAGGAGATGTTCACCAACCGTGTGGAAGTGAAGGTGAAGATCCCTGAGGAGCTGAAGCCCTGGCTGGTGGATGACTGGGACCTCATCACTCGGCAGAAACAGGTGAAAAATTACTATAAAGTTATTGTATACTGCTGTGAATTTACTTCAGCTGTGGTGACCTGCTGAGGTTATAATATACAGACTTTATATGGACATCCTGCTTTTAAAGTATACCTGCAGTAATTTGAATAATGGGCATAATTTCTACACTTGGTGATTTTATTATTAATCAGAGTAAATTACTGTCAGAACTAATAGAAATCCTCAGCTCTGTCAGGAAACGCCCAAACCTTCTCAAAATATATATATCTTTTTTTAAGAATCTGATGGTAAAGGATTCTTTAAATGATATATATACTTTGAATGACATGAGGCTGTAATTAATCATAAAAATATGATATCACTGACTTCACTGACTTTATCCGAGCCATATTTTGAAGGTGGTAGTGAAGTGGCAAGCTGCACATCATAATCAGCATAATAAGCAGGATGCTTAAATTTGTAGCCCTGTAAAATATAGCACTGACAGTATTCATTTAAACACGACATGTGGAGACAGTTAGGCTTGAAATGAACTTCGAACTGAGCAACACACTAATGTTGAACAGTTATGTGAATGCTAGTGACTTTTCTGTTGCTTGCAGTTATTTCATCTGCCTGCTAAGAAGAATGTAGAGACTGTCTTGGAGGACTATGCAAACTATAAGAAATCAAAAGGAAACTCAGACAATAAGTAAGAATAAACACCCTTTAAACTTCCTTCAAGTGAAGTAAAGGTACAGAAACATCGCTGATAATCAGTTCAGCATCACTGCATGTGTCCACCTCATTATGCCAAGTGTTACACTAATAGGCACAAATGATCATATGTCACATTTATATATCTATCACCCCATTTACAGAAATTCCTATACTGAATGCTGTTGGCACATTCCCAAAGCATTTCCTTATTATTATTTTTCCTTATTTTAATTTTGTGTCTCCTGGGGTTCTTTCTCCCTCCACTCAGGGAGTATGCAGTAAACGAGGTGGTGGCAGGCATTCGGGAGTACTTCAACGTCATGCTGGGCACACAGCTGCTTTACAAGTTCGAGAGGCCGCAGTATGCTGAGATCCTGGCTGAACACCCAGACATGCCAATGTCGCAGGTTTACGGAGCTCCGCACTTGCTGCGCCTTTTTGGTAGTGACCCTGGACACTACATGTGCACAGCTTTTTGCCAGTAAAATACATACCGTATAAACCCTACAGCAGTTTTTAGGTCAACACTCAGGTGAAATGATAAATAATGGCAGTCACTGTTTCAGTCCACTGAAACTGAACATCAACTTGTTGGATTATTGATATTATTATTGAACACCTCTGACAGATATACAAGGATTGAATTCAGGCATCATTTAGTTAGCATTTTAGTTTAACTTTTTAAAATCCCTAAGCAGTTTTTCAGTTGAGTTTCCATTGATATCGTTACAGCTGTTTGAAATGGTGTGCTAAAAACAAGAGAACTAACATTTCCTCTTAGGAGTCAGTATTTTAAAAATCTGTTAACAAGAAAATGTTTAGAAACATTGTCCTGAATTTATTTCAGCCTGCATTGTTCCTCACATATGTTGTCTCCTTCCCGACAGTTCGTATTGGAGCCATGCTGGCATATACTCCACTGGATGAGAAGAGTCTGGCTTTGCTGCTCAGTTACCTTCAAGATTTCCTGAAGTAAGATTTTTTTTTTTTTAATTCCCACCACACCACCGCAGACAAGGGTTGTGACGAGATCTCTTGATATTAAAATTTGACAATATTTCTCATCAAGGCAAAAGCTGTCTCACGATATCGGTACACAACAGAAACAGAGGAGAAGCCAGTAGGCTCGTTTGAGATTAACTGTGTTTCGCCCGGTAAGCAGACGAGAACAGGCAGGCAGTGACAAAAATCTGCAGTCAGAATGCACAGTTTAGTAGCTTTTCAACAGCCTTCCATCTGTACATGAAGTCACAGAAGGACTGTTACTTAAATACTGTCTGAAAATGTATATGGGCTATGTTTATCATACAAAGCAGTCATATCAGTTTGCTGCTGTGTTTGAGCTGTCCAGGCTTGATTTGATATGAAACTACAGAAATAAATTCATAGCCATTGTGGAACTATCAGATATTTAGTTTGCCACTGCTTCACATCGGACAAAGAAATCTTCACAGCCAGCTGACCAGTCTCTTATGCTGTGTCACATATTAAATCAGTTCATATTGTAGAGCAGAGCTATCACAGAATGCCTGGCCTGCAGTATGTGAGAACTGTACGCTGACTGTATTCAACTTCTCTGACTGATAAAAGTCACCATCAGTCTGTAATAGACGTCTTCAGTTATAGCTCCTCCAGGCAGTGCTGCAGACTGGCCCTGAATTTCCTGTGAAGAACAACCTCTTATCTTGTCACATCCTATGTTTATCCAGACAAACTATATTTAAAATGCACCTGGCTCCTATCAGGGCTTTAGTTTGACAGGATACAGCACTGAGTGATAATTTTCCCTTTAAAAACCCGTTGTGCAAATCCGTTTTGGATGCAGACAGCCTCCTGTGTCTTATTTTAATATAAAATCATTTTGTATATTTCAGATATTTGTTAATTGGATATCAAACTGAATGTGACAGCTGTTCAGGGACAACTTATTGCACTTTTGATCAGTAACAGTTATCCTCACACCACAGTGACAAGCAAATTTTACATTTCCTTCAGGTACCTGGTAAAGAATTCATCCACCCTCTTCAGTGCCAGTGACTATGAGGTGGCACCACCAGAGTACCACCGCAAGGCTGTGTGAGCTCTCAGCACAGCGCACATCTACCAAGGCATGCCATCCCCTTCTCCCAGACCCCATTAAAATTAAGCATTACTACCCTTTTGAGTGCAGACCTGGATGAGATTTTTTCAGTTGAACTGATAGCGCTTCCTCCACAAAGGACTCAGAGCTTGTCACAATTAAAAGTCAAAAAATGATGACAAAACATTTTTTAGCTGAGTCTTTCCTCTCACTTCTTTGGAAAGATTCTAGAAAAATGTGTTTCTGTGTTAATAGGTTACAGTTTTCATAAGCTGCTCTTTGGTGTCCTTGCGCATTCCATCTGGTAGATGTTTGGTATTTACAGTTGCATGTGTGTATTTATTTGTGTTTCTTCTGCCAACTGAGGTGGTCAGCGCTCAACAATTAATCTTTTTGTATCTATATCGTGTATTTGTATGAATTTGTTAAGAATAACTGTTTCTACACAACGTCCAAATCGTTTACTGTATTTTCTTGTTATGTTGTAAATTATTTGGTGCCACTCTTCTTTTAAAATTAATTACAAAGTGAAATAAACAGAAAAATAACTTAGGAATGGCTCACAGTCACATCAAGACACAAGTGTACCTGAGTGCATCAGACATTAAAGATGTACTGTAAAACATGGTTGTTATTTTTCTGACATGTCTCAGCAAAAACATGCTTTTATTTAGTTCATGAAAACTATAAAACTGCTTCTGGAAGGAGCAATAATCAAGACTATTCTCAATATTGATGCGCAAATGTGGAAAAATAAATGGCCACAACAATACACTTTAACTCTATTAAACAGGCCTCAGAATATACCAAAAGTCAATTTTAAGTGTCCTTAACTGATAACATAATTTATTTGATTATACTTTCTAATATTAATCACCTACAAGTACCTAAAGTTCTCAGATAAAAGTTGTGAGTTAGTTACAACATTCAACAACATTTCCCTCTGAAATATTGTGAAGTGCTCTGGCCCAGCAGGATAATCAGAAGCCACCAGGGGAAGCCGTGGCCCTGCCTTTTGACTGATTCTCCTAAAAACTCCAAGCCCACCTGCTCCAGTCTCCTCCCCCGTTGACTTGTGTTGAGAACAGTAAAAAAAAAAAAAAAAGATATGCAGCGTTTGGCAAGCTGAAATGATTTAACTTTTATTTTTCTAGGGTGATCCCACTGAGACTCACCATCTCTTTTTCAAGATATAATATATTGAGAAGCAGCCTAAATACAATGAATTCACTTCGTGCGTCAAATAATTATTTAGATAGGTAATCTGTAACAACTGACAGCAGGTATCAGACAATTTGAGTGATTATTAGGATAGTTTTCATTACTAGGTAGCCTAAATGACAGGTAGGTAACAGTTCATATTGATATATTCATAATAAGCAACAGTCGGTGTTTTAGTCCAGGTTGTTCGTAGATTTTTAGGCACCTTTTCCAGGTGTTTCGGGTTTCAGGTAAGCCTGACGTCGTCCCAGATTTCCCTGCCCTGTCCCAGGATATCTCCGACTTCTCCCAACGACACTTTTCAAGGAAGTCCTGCCCCCCGACGTTGCCTATTGGATCAAAAGAGAAACAGACCGCGCACATTCCAGTTTGACTGGTTCAACAGGTTGTCAATCACAGCGCGATCAGCGTTTGCGGTTATGCGTCAGGTGAAACTCGCTCTGTGAGGAAAAGGGGGGAAATAAGACTCACCTCGCCTGAACTTTGTGGGAAAGTTGTTGTACCATTTATGAACTTGTTCACTAAAGACGTTTTTTAACATAAGGACCCAACACGTTACAAGATGAAGAGTCTGAAGTACCGGTTGAAAAAGCACGAAGTTACCATCACAGTAAGTTAAATTCTGTTGTTTTTTTTAGTTACGTTATTGTCCCAGTCTACTACCATTGAATTGGCTGTGTGTTGATAAACGACGCTCATGCTGTAGTGTTTCAACACCGGGGGGTTGTTGTTTGTTGCCCTGACTGACCTCTTTGTTGTCAGCGACCACGGTAAAAGCAGTCGTGTTCCTACGGTGGCTGTTGTTTGGCTGGAAAACAGCGCCAGCAACTTTCAGCACCTGCACCTCAGCGCCAGTGGTGGATGTGGCCCGACACAGTTTTATCGCACTGCACATACATGCAGCTTCAGGGTTTTATGCGCTGGCCTACCTATAGCAGCTGGTTGTGTCGGTGCTATTCACAAAACCTCCGCAAATCAGTGCCTGTCCTCCAGGACGTTATCACCCGATGACACTCGGTCAAGACGCCGTGGTATCGTTTGGTTGAGTTTTCTTTTGTGTCTTGTCAAGATAGGAAATAAGCTCACGGCCTGTAGAAGCTGGGCTTTCAAAGTTTGACTTCACATGAATGCAGCAGCAGGTCTTCCACTGACATGACAGGAGCCTGTAACACTCACAGTGGCCATTTTTCTACATCAGGTACTTTTATCTTTGATACTTTCAAGCCAGCGATACAGGGGAATTGGATTAGGGCTGACATGCACAATACTCTTTTAGAAAAGCTGGGGAGTCAGTTTTAAAATCGGTTTGATTATGTGGGACTGTGAAGTGTTTCAGTCTACTCTATTTATATCAATAACAGTAGATTAAATATGACTGTCACAATTTTGACCTGGAGCCTTTCATTATTGATTCTTCTATCAATCATTTTCCAGATTGATCTTCATTGTAACAAGCATAAATATTAAAAACTGTTATAACATTGCAGAATCCATAATAGTTTCTGATCTTCAGTCTAAAAAAATAAAAATATTTAGTTTACCCTTATTTATTACAAAGAAAAGCAGCAAATTCTCACATTTCAGAAGCAGAAACCAGAAAATGTTTCACATTTTTGCTTGAAAAATCAATAAAATGGTAAATCAGTCATCAGTAACCTTCTCCCACTGACTAATCAGTTAATCAACTAATTGTTTCAGCTCTACTACAAACCACAGCCTCAACCTGAACACAAGATTGAATCAACACCTCTTCCAACAAATAACTGAACATTTTCACTTTTGAAGGGAGGATTTATGGCAGCACTGTACTGGTTGTAAATTATATTTCTTTGCCTAAAAGAAATGCTGTTGGAACAAAATACACAAGGATTATGTAAAACGTTTTATCAAATCCTCTCGTTTCTTTAGAATTTCCTGTATTTAGCCATTGAGGCTCCATGGCACCATGGATCCACCACAAGTCCCTCCAGGAATGTTACCGTGGTTTTGTTCTTCAGTTAAGGCTGCACTTGTTAGAGCCTAGGGCACTGAGTGATATTGTGTAATTAGTTCTATGAGGGCCCAGTAGGTCTAGGCTTTTCAGATAACTTGAGTAACCTCATCATAGGCCATAATGTAAAATTAATTTGTCACAAGCCAGCTTTTACTGCGCTTAATAGGCAGTTATTACAACATGCAAATTGCCAAATACCCAATGCACAGTTCAACATGCAGAGGCTGTCTGGCACTGCACTCTGCGTTCAGAACCTAGCGATTACCATGAGAAAGGCACAAAGCTGGAGGAGCAGTGTGTGGTAAACTATTTGACTCGCTTTAAGAAAAGCCTTTTCAGGAATCAAATGGTATTGTGTCCACATTGATAGCTGTCTCAGTCAGAAGCAGAGACACCCTTTTAAAATTCATGCACAGAAAACCTGTTTTTGCCCTGCAGCGTTTTTCATTTGTTTGTTTAAAAATGAACTCAGGAAATGTTCAGGATGAGCTGTGCTGAGGAAACAGACATGGCATTTACACAGGTCTGAGTGATGATTTTATAACATTCTTACTGCATTCCTCTGTACAAAGGATGAAGTGAGAGGTGGTGACACCCTTACAGGCATCACTATATCAGTGTATTGGCTCCTTTTAAATGTATTTAGATGTGCTTTTCCCCTGTCTGATTTGTGTGTTGCCAAACAAACATTACAATCGCTTCAGAAAGTTTTCAGGCCCGTTCACTTTTAGCACACTTTATTGGCCTATTTATTCATTTGATTGATAAAATTCCCACTTTCCCAAATAACATGTCAAATGTTTTCAGATTTATCAAAACTGAAATCTTTCATTTCTAAAAGAATTCAGAGCCTTTGCTGTCGCACTACAAACTGCTGTCAGGTGCATCCTTTCCCTTTAATTATCCCAGAGATGTTCTTCGAACTTGAATGGAGTCCACCTGTGGCAAATCAACTTAATTTGATTTAGGCAGGAACACACCTGTCCCACAGATTCACACTGTGTCAGGACAAAAACTAAGCCATGAGGTGCAAGGTATACTTCCTGCAGACCAGTGAAAGGATATAAACCCATTTATAAAGGTTTGAGTAGATTACTCCAGTGAGCACAGTAGCTTCAAAAATTGTGAAATGGAAGACACTTGAAACCCTCAGGACTCTTAAAATAGTTGGACATCTGGACAAACTGAGAAACCAGGCAAGAACAACCAGCTTCAAAGTGCATGCAACCTGAGACCGAGGTTATGGTTTATGTTTCAGCTCAACAATGACCCGAAACCTGTAACAACATTTAGAGTGGCTGTGGGACAGAACTCTGACTGCCCTTGAGCAGCTTAGACAATCAAAACCCCACAGAAAATCAGTGGACTGATCTGGTGATGATGGCTCACAAATGGAGGCTCTGCCAGGAAGAATGGAATAAACTGCCCAAATCCAGGTGCATAAATCTTGTAGAGACCTAAGAAGACTCAAAGCTGTAGACTAACTGCTGCCAAAGAGGCTTTTCCAAATGAATTAAGGCTCTGGATTTACAAATGAGAGTTTTCACTTTCTGATTTTTTTTTTAATAAGTTTGAAGGAAAAAAATCTAAAAAAAACATATTTTTGCTTTGTCATGTTTGTAGATTATTGACCAACAATGACAGTTTTGTCAGTTTAGCATTAAATCTACAACACAAAGTGGAAAGGTCTGAACACTAGCCACTGTAGTTACCATTCACTGATATGGGATCATCACCACCTTTTCCATTCATAAAACATAAATTATATTGATCAGCAAGGTATTATTAGATTGACATCATCACCAAGTGTTACAGTATATGTGTAAGATTCCTTTCTCACTGGTACACATTCCTGGAAGGTGAAGCCTCTCCTTCCTTCCCGACTAATGATTAAGAGGAATTTATCTGCCTTTTCTAAGTGGGAGAGACAAAGGGGAATTCAAAGGAAGCCTGCTTTTTTATGTGAACAAACAGTAGCTGAATTCTGGCCAGAGCAAACAAATAATTTGAGGAATCATTGTTTTTCACTCCTTGCACAATGTAACTTATCTCTTGTCTCCTTGTCTTTTATTATTAAACACAGGAGCCACAAACTTCCTCTTCACATTTTATTTATTGCCTTCAAGAGATACTCACTTATTGTATACTGTCATTATGCAAACATATTTGATTGTCAAGTATCAGCAACAGCAGCAACAGCTAAAGTATGCTAACTATGATAGTAAGCCATTTAAGGTCACTGTAAAACAATTGCCTTAATACAGCTGTGGATTAAAGACTTCTGTAGGTTTACATGAGGCAGGGTTCCAGTTTCTGTTACTCACTTGTGTGGAGGGGTGTCTTTTTGTTAAGGGTGAGTAATTACCAGCCTTCCCATGACAGGTTTATAACAAAGAGATTCCTGTCAATATAAAAACGAAGCAAAAAATAATGTCTGGATAAGAAACTCCCAGAAAGATGGAGCTCACGTCTCCATCTGGATAGACCGACATTCTTGAAGAATGTCCCGTTGGCCACACACCCAGACTTCCAAAGGAAATATGTTGAAAAGCTTTCAGTTTCAACAACAGTTGGCAGTCATTCAGACGTGCCTCTACAGAGTCAGGCGCAGAAAGTTTAGCTGCTTGAGGAAAATGAGACAAGCCAATGAAGTTTGGAGTTTAGTGGGAGCTGTCACTGCTTGTTGTCACAACAAACTGTAGTGTCAGATGGGGAACTCCACTGTGTTGAGCCTGTGCAACCAAAAGGACCTGAAGTGACACTGTTGCACAAATGATTTGATTCATGTTGTCTCAGTGAAAGAGATGCTGTACCCATCGGTCAGCTGCTCTGTAGCTTACGTGAAATGAGGCATTTCTGAGACGGGTTCATCTATGACCTTGTTAGACCATAGTGAGAGAAGCAAAACAATTGTCTGGCTTTGTGAGGGGTTGTCATTTCACCATCATTTTCTTGTTTTTAAGATCCAGCTATTAAGAGGTATAGTTTTACACTATGCTCAGTGAAACATGAACAGGAAGCTCTGTCATAAAATGTTCCTTGTGATGTGTTGTTTCACTTTGTCCATTGTAGTGGGCGTTTGGGTTCTCGGTAAATAACACTAACTCACTGGAGTTCATTTTCTTGGTGTAGACCTGGATCCAGCTGTGAAAGTGTTTGAAAGCGTCTCTGACCGTTGCAAAATAATGACTTCTTTTGATGAGAATAATACAAAAACTAGTCTGACTGCATGTATGAGAAGTGAGTGAACACGCTTCTGCTGGATATTTCCTAAGATAAACATCTACAATCACGTCACCTTCTCTTGTTTACACATTTTTGTGTTGTAGATTTAATTATAAATGGATTACATTTCCACTTTGCCCATTAACATGCAAAGGTATTTTTTAGAAATATTTGCATAATTGTCAAAAGCCAAACTGAAATCTCATTTATAAAAGTATTCAGTGCCATTGCTGTGGCAGGTGCAATATGTTGGCTCTAATTACTCCAGATGATGTGTCTGGAGTCCACCAGTGGCAAATGGATTTGATATAGTTTAGAAAGGCGCACACCTGTTCATATATAGTAAAATCCCACAATTCATTCTGCGTGTCAGGGCAAAAACCAAGCCATGA